TTTATGGATGTAAATGCAAAAGGATTGAGGGGTATGCATTTAAATTTCCCTATAAAATTTTGCAAATAGAAAACCAACTCACCCAGGGCGACCAAAATCTAAACCACAGGGTACAACCTGCACATCTCTCCTCTTAAGAGCATAGTCTATCACAGCCTCATTCTGCAAATTTAAAGGAAGGGATATTAGAACAATAAATATAGCAATAAAAAGCTCAATTAACTTATAAATTATTAAGAGATAACAACCTCGTCAACCATCATGGAGCAGGTTGAGTATACTATATATCCTCCAGATTTTGAATTAGCATCAACCAAATCAATTGCAGCTAGAATCAGTTGCTGCGGAAGATATCAACACAAATCACAAATAAAATCTCAAAAATAAAATAAAAAACTCATCAAACAGAACCAAACAGCAAATTCAGCAATTACATAAGCATTCAGGACTTGGGTGTAAATGGCAAATGATATGGTGAATGTTGTAAAGTCTAGAATGAATTGCGCTTTTGAAGGTCAAGCTTGTTTTAGTACTAGCTTGCCGACAAAAGCCGCAATGTGATTGCAATGAATGAATGTCAATTTAAATGAAGGTTGTCGAAGAAATAAAAAAAGGGGAAAGCATATAAGCACAAGACTACAGATAAAGTCATGAACATTTTTTTCCTATTTTCACCAAGGTATATTTACATAATCTAAAGTTTGATAAAAGTATTATAATAAAAAGATAATGTTTTCAACTAGCATGTATTCAAAGTTTAGAATTATACCTTCTGCAGAAAAGCACATTTTCGAACATCTTCAATGGATTTGGAGGTTTTGACAGATTGTTCATTCCATATGATCTTCAAAAAAATTGTAGAAGAATCAATGTATTTGTAAGTAAAAAAAAAAAGTAAAAAGAATTAGTCCTTTTTGGAGCTAATGCCATTAAAAAAAAAACTGACTTACCCCAGTACCACTGCATGGAGCATCCAACAATACCCTATCAACAGATTTGAATCCCAAGATTTTGGGCAGCTAAATCAAAACAAAACGTTAGACATAACATTGCAATAATGATGTTTAGAAGATAAAACTAACAATAAATTTCTTATCATACTGATTTTATCTGATTATAATTTCGTAATTATTTTAGACTGTCTTTATTCAACAGATATTCTCTTAATTAAGGATATTTTACCTATAAGTAATCTACCTCTTGTATTTGCTTAATCATAAGCATCAATACTATATATCAAGTTGTTTCAAATGCTTTAACTGTACTCAGAAAATTCTTTAAAAAAAATTATTTTAGAATTGCAGTGAAAAAATGAGGTTTGTAATGACCTCCCTTAGTACAGACAACAGAACTAACCTCCTTTCCATCATAGTTGCATACAACAGTATTTGTGACACCCATGCGATGGATATTAGCTCTTAAAGACTTGAGCCGCTTTTCCTTGAATTCATTTGCATAAATCATTCCTGAAAATAATAAAATCTTTGATGGTAAACGTAAAGGAAATAATTAACCGGGAGAATATAAATAAGCAAACTCAAAGATAAAAGTTTTATCAATCAGATGCAAATCCGACCCCACTTAGTGGGACAAAGGTTTGTTGTTGTTGTTGATGTTGTATTATTCAGTTGATGCAAATGTTATTTTAATATTATATTTTTGTGTGTGGACATAACGTTATTTGGTGTCTTCAGAATGCTATCAAGGTTCACAATCCTAACAGTACTTTGCTTGGCTTTGTTGGTAAGCATTTGTTTTACTTGCTTATTTTAATACCTTGATGACTTTTAGATGCGGCCATGGAGGTCATTATGCCCTTAGATAATTTAGGATTAGATAATTTAGGTCAATATTTATCAGATGATAACAAGTGAATTGAACTTGAATTTGTAAATTAGAAGCACAAATCATAGCATTTTTTTTTTCTTTCAATCAAGGATATATTTTTCTTACTCTATTGCTTTTCTTGGATGGATATTTTATTTTGTTGTTTTAGAATTGCAGTTATTTTTTTATTCCAAATGGTGTAACATTATTTGTTGGTTCTAGTTTTGAAATCCCATGTCAGCAAATACTAAGTAATCTTCTATGAACATGGTTCATCAATGTATTTTATCCCCTTAATATGCATATTCGCGCATTGTTGAAGATAATGAAAATAATTAAAAATAAGAATGTGTTGCACTATGTTTTGTCTTGTGCTCGTTTAGTTCAGATGTTATTATTAGTATAGTTGGCTGAGAAATTGTAGGAAAATAACGACAAAAGCTGTTGTGAGTATAGCTCTAGTTGTTTGGCTGCACTTAAGATATGTATGATATATAAAGGTACATGACATTTTTTTCTTTGGTAAAGGAATACCGTGGAGTGACTTTGTCATTCAAAAAGACAAATTTTCCCTCATTCATTTTTTCTTTAACATTATAATAAATTTATGACATCTTATAAAGATATTATTACTTTAAATGTATGAAAAGTTTATGAACACTATTCATTTGATATAATTTCTAAAAAATGGTGAGGGTGGAATAAATTCTAAAGAATACCCAATTGATAAAATAATTTAGGTAAGATGTCCCATAAATAGCTCACAAAATAGATGTTATAGTAAGAACGTATATTGAAAGCAAACATAAACATTTTCAAGAATAAAGTAAATTATATTAATTTTTTAAATTCTTAGTAGTTTGTCAAATTAATTAATTATAATTATTATAGATATAGGCACATTGTTAAAAATATAAGAGTATTTTTTTTTATTTTTATCTATCTGCTTTCAAATGGTACTTCCCAGCAACAGATACAAAATTGCAGCCAGAAAGTAAACTCGCGCCACCATCTAAAGTAACTTCTGGTATGGTAAGCATGTAGAATCATCTAAACTTCTATCTGTTTTCGACTAACCAGTTTTTCTTTTGTAGAAAATGTAGTAAAGCTGAATCAAATGGGTCCTAAGAATATATTTATGCAAAATAGGGCTACGGTAAATCTTTTAAAGTCCCTATTATGAACTTAAGGTTTGCTATCAATGGTAGTCACGGAGTTGATGATGGAAATTTAAAGGAGCTCCAAAGGTGGTGGCAATGACAAAGAAAGGTTTTATTGATTGACTTGCAGGTGTAGATGCCGAAGCTATAACTGAGCAATGGTGGCCATTTGTGTACAGAAGTTGTTGTGAACAACAAAGCTGGTAAAGGGTGACTTGTATTAATTGAAATGAATAGTTAACTTAAGCAGTTATAATTAAGTAATGTTTTTTGAAGTTTGACTACGCAAAATTTAATTCATATACATATATATATTTGAGTTTAACTTCAAACTTAATAATAAACTTTATGGTTGTTAAAGTGTGCGCCAAGTTTCTTCTCTACGAGTATAGTACGCCCATGTAGCATGATTTCCTTTACTCAGTTTCTATAATTTTCCCTTCCAACATTTCATGATTCCTTCATAAAACTCAGAATATATTAGTAAGGAATGGATGCAAGAGTTACTCCATGTGCAATGTATGCATGTTTTCAACTAGGGGAGTAAGATAACTTCGATCTCACTTTTATTTTTATTTTTTGTGTGGATATAGGTGGTACTGACGGGTTGTTTGTACAGAAGACCCTTGACATGGGGTTTATTTTTTAAGTTTGAGGTAAAGCCAAGCAATGCATATTTTTTGGGTATGTAGATGGATTGAAAATATAACATATAACCATGAAGTGTCATGTCATAGTTTTCTCTACTATGTTATGTCCCCGTATCGTGTCGTGTCGTGTCCGTGCTTCACAGATGAAAAGAATGTAAACAAAGACATGCCATAAATAAAGAACTGGTTAGTTTTCTCTATGATGTCATGTCCCCGTATCGTGTCTTATCGTGTCCGTGCTTCACAGATGAAAAGAATGTAGACAAAGACATGCCATAAATAAAGAACTGGAAAACTTGCAAAAGACTTTAATTTCAAACATATAAGAGAGAATAACAATCATCTTAGTTTTGCTAGAAGTTACATACCAATATTCTTCATGAGAGCAGCAATGAATGTTGTCTTTCCACCTGGTGCGGCACTAAAAAATAAAAAAGCATATAGTATTAGTAAAATTCAAACACTCTGAGTTGCACTTCTCCACCATAGAAATATAAACACATCCATGTCATGTATCACATGATTTAATACCAAACTTTAGTACAGAAAAAGAACAACATTTCAAGTAATAAACTATTCAAAATCATGATTCATCAGGTTGAGTTAAGTTTTGACTAACCTCACTCAAGCCATCCACAATTATAATGATAGGTAAAAATTTATGATAAAAACGATAACAATAGTAGTTTAGTCCATTGTCATCTAGTATGAAAAATACAACTAGATTACTATGTCTTGGAATATGTATAAACTATGATCATCAGAAAAAAATAATCCAAGAAGTTCTGAATTTAAGGCAATTATTCAAATAAGTGGCGAGGAACGAAGAATGAATGGAATACTCCTTCCATGTACTACAAACACAATTTTATCAACCATATTTTCAATTGAATTTCTTAACATAGCATGAATTAGAGAAATTAAATGCTAACATGTATTAAGGTGGATTAAAAAAAAAAGGAAAAAAATGGCACTCTGAGTTCAACAACCGCATAAAGACTTATCACAATATAAATGAATAAGAATTATCACTATCAAATAAAACATGAAAGTATTTTACACATTGCATTACATCTATGAATGATGTACATTTGAGCATTCATGAGACAATAATGAGAAAAAAGTGTAGAATATAGAATCTTACGCCATGTCAACAACTCGCTCCCTCTCTTGAGGAGCAAGGGCCATAACAGGTAGAAATGAACTTGCACCTTGTCTCTGGAAGCATTACAAAAATCTATATAAATTTTGTATCAAAGAAAAGCCAGAATATTATAGCTAATGGAGATAATAATTTCGAAGTATTCTATAAGCCAACATACCATGTAGTGGCCAGCCATAATCTTAGGTGTTGCACCAATAGGCACTTGTGAATCATACACGACTAAACCAACCTGTCATCATTGCGGAAAAAAAATTAAATTCACAAAAAGGGGAAAAAAAGATGAAAACACTGCAGTACAAAACTAGCTACCTTAGACTACTTCCCTATTGTATCAAGGTTTACTCCCCTATTGAGAAGAACAACCACGAGATCCCTTCTACGGGTCTACAATGCAAAGTCAAAGTAAATATATATTACAAAAAACGAAGAAAAATGAGGACATCATGGTTTATGTCACATACGTCAGGATTATAGTAAAAAAAACTAAAAAACATTGATGTTACGTTAAATTATAATGTAAAGAATAGAGCAAGCCCAATGCACCTTCAATGTGTAACGTGAAGAATAGAGCAAGTCCAATGCACCTTTAATGTGTTTGCACGCAGTGTTTCAGGACGATTTTTTTCAAAAGCTTCCAAAAGCTCAACAAGTTCAACAACAGGGAACATCTATGTTAAATAATAAGAAAATCAGTATGAAATTTAAATAATTGGAGATGGCAAGAATATTTTATTTAAAAAGGGGCAACAGAAAATCAATGACAAACCTCCATGAGACTGTTGATGAGAAATTCATTGTACCCATAATAAGAAATAAAATCACCCTTAAGTTGTTCGAGGTAGTCTTTCCTAGAAACATTCTTCTGCCTGAGAGTCTTGAAATTCGACAGCACACGTACAACTGCGTACAACTTCAAAAAACAAAAATGTTTTAACAAGAATATTACAATTTTAAAAAAAAAACTAGCATAATACAGACAATTTTTCAATAACAAATAACTGAAAAACAAACTGGCATTGCAAATTAAAATGCTAACAAAGTTTTGGCATCTGAAATTGGGGAAAGAAAACGCACTCTCTTTAATCCTTCTTTGTAAACCAGAAAGATTTGGCGGTTGCCTGACCTCATTTTCTAACTCCTGCACAGAAAGATTTGGAGGTTGTCTGACCTCATTTTCTAACTCTTGCACCAAAAGTTAAAAAAAAAGTTTTTAATTTCATAGCTACAGAAGCTGCAAGACACCAAAGAGTAAGCAAATTTCTAGAGGTGACCTCTTTGGTGGGCAATCTAAATTCGTCGTACTCCTCCTTTATATTTAGCTTCAACTCCTCCTCTGCTTCCACCAAAGCTCTTGCCTTTGCCTCATCTATCGCTCTGGACTCCTCTTCCAGATCCGACTCATCTGATTCCAACCCTGACTCATCTGGCTCCTCTGCAAATGTTTCAAAAATGGCATTAAACCACTTGTTTGGAGAATACTGGATTAATTTCATACCTTTATCGCTATCTCGGAGGAAGTCGTCGGTGAATGGGACCCCGTCAGACGATACATTGGAATCAGAATGATTGTCTTGGATGTCTGAGGCCTCGCTTTCATCTTCCACCTCCTTCGCAGCGACTCCAAGTATCCCTTCTTCAGGATCAGGATCTTTTGATGAAAGATTATAATTTTTCTTGTTGAGAAAATTAGGGCGAAGAAAAACTAGTACGACACTAATCCAGAAGAACACAGAGATTTAACGAGGT